TAAAGTCGTCCACTTGTATGGTCTTCGCCAACGACTCGCTCAAGAAGTGGTGATTGTATGCGATCTTATGGGACAACTCGTTGATCACCGGCTGAAGGCGTTTGCCGGTCTGGAAGTGGTTCTTCGGCAAAGGGGAGGGAAATAGAGTAATGGGTGCCATGGATATGGTGTCCAATGGATTAGTCTTGAGTTTGAAGCCAATACCTGTTATTAGATTAGGTGGTAAGTGATTAAGACATAAAGTGATCACTGTATACACTGTCTTAAGCGTATCACTCATTGAGATAATGAATGGTAAGCACACAGACAATCACACTTACCTTGAGATAAGGCATAATCCTTGGCCTCCCTTTCCATCGTCACCAACTCATCATTACTTATATTATTTAAGACACTCGACAACTGATCCATATCTTAATGATCACCAACTCTTGGGATCAATTACTGGAGGCTATGATCACAACACAAACACATAAAGTAAACACTGATTATGAAAGTCATGTGAGTTTTCCCTTTAACTTTACATGTGTTTCAGTGTCCAGAGTATACGTGCCGTTAGTATTGCACACAAAGCTATCCCCTCATTAAACACAACAGCACTGCAAAGGCCAATCACAATGAGTGCCCCCTTTGGCGTCAATACATGTCGTAATTTATTTCCAATCCCAGTGTATTTGAGCGCCAAAAGTGACACAAAGGCATTGAAAGGCTTATTGTGGGGAACGGGAGGAAAGCCTACCATTGAAAACATGTTTGGATTTGACGCACACTATTGACTCGTATTGTTATCCCATTCACTGACCACTCACTCGTTGACCACTTTATTGTTGACCACGTGTTAGACCACAACCGCGATGTCCAGTCAGACACGTGTCACCGACTTCTTCAGCGCACAGAAACGCAGTGAACAGCAGTTGAGATCCGCTAACAAACCGTTTAAGAAGTCTGTGGACATCGACTCCGCCACCGATGAGCTTAAGAAGAAGACACCGAAACGCAAGAAAGGCATCTCCAGTGGCGACACGACTGTCCACTCGTCGGCCAAACGCAAGAAGACACCCAAATGTCAGCGCATTATCGACTTCCTGGTCACCGCTGATGATGACAAGTCTGCGGCCATTGACGCGACATCTGATTCCAAGTCACCGGCGAAGGCGATGTCGGCCGCGGAGGTGAAGGAAAAGCTCGTGAATTGCGGTAATCTATTGGCGCTGAAGAAACAATTGTCGCAAATCAATGACTGCGCGGCAAAAGTGAGACAATTCAAGGAAATGAAGGTCAAGTCGCCCACGAAGAAGGTGTTCCGGACGCCCACCAAAGCCGCCCGAAGTCCTACCAAACACTCGCCCCACAGGCCACTGATGTCGATGATGGCCAGCCCTCTGTTGCCACCGATTAAGTCACCCGTCAGTATCACACCCAATAAGGACTCGAAGTCGGCGCTCACTTACCGCCGAAGAC